CGGCGTGAAGTTGATTAGGTTGAACTTCGCCGGATACGGGATCGAATCCCACTCCTTCGGGTAAGGATACGGAATGCCGTTCTTCCTCACCTCTCTAGAATATAAAATTCTTCCTTTCCCGCACCAACCTTTTCCAAGAATTTATCAATCTAGGATTCATCCTATGAAGTTTATCCCGAATCCTAAGCAGTGATAAGTCTGCGCCTAACACGCGTCGCCGGTTTAGTCTTTTTCCGTAGAAAAAGACACCAGAGTTCGATTCTGGGGTATTCTATCCTGAAACCTAAGCAGGGATAAGTCTGCGCCTAACCCGCGCCGCCGGTTAGTTCTTAACCGTTAAAAAGAACACCCGCCCACATATTCAATATTGTGGCAGGTTGTTATTCATAACATCAAAATCCATACCTTACACGCATGGGGAATTTCATCATGAATCCTAAGAAAGGATATGCCGACGCCTAACACGCGTCGCCGGTTTAGTCTTTTTCCGTAGAAAAAGACACCAGAGTTCGATTCTGGGATATTCTGTTTTGAAACCTAAGCAGGGATAAGTCCGCGCTTAACACGCGCTACCGGTTTAGTCTTTCTCCGTAGAAAAGACACCAGAGTTCGATTTTGGGGTATTTTATCCCGAAACCTAAGTAGGGATAAGTCTGCGTCTAACACGCGTTGCCGGTTTAGTCTTTCACCGATTGAAAAAGACACCAGAGTACAATTCTGGGGATTTTCATCCTGAATCCTAAGTAGGGATGAGTCAACGCCTAATACGCGTTGCCGGATGCCATATTCCCGTAAGAAATGGCGAAGTCTATGTATTCAAAATCATAGCATTAAGTCTAAGAGAAGCAATTCTCTTAGCACAACATTACATGTGAAACGAGTTTTAATAATTCACATGCTAGCCCGATTTAAACGGTAATCGGTGAAGGCACGTCAAACCCGTTGATGGCTGGGGGTTTGCCAAAGATCCCAAAGTCTATGTCTAACACGCATTGCCGGTTAGTCTTTGACCGTAAAAAGGACAAAAGACCACATATTAACATTGTGGCAGGTTGTTATTAATAACACCATAATCCGTGCCTCACACGCATGGGGAATTTTATCCCGAAGCCTAAGCAGGGATAAGTCAACGCCTAACACGCGTTGCCGGTTTAGTCTTTTACCGATTGAAGAAGACACCAAAATTCGAGTCCGGGGATTTTTATCCTGAATCTTAAGTAAGGATAAGTCAGCGCCTAACACGCGTTGTCGGGTAGTCTATTCCCGTGAGAAAGACGAAGTCTACGTATTCAATGTCGTAGCACTAAAAGAGTTAACTCTTTTAGCATAACGTTATGTGCAGAACGAATCTAAACAATCTGCATGCTAGCCCGACTCAAACAGTAGTCGGTAAAGGCTCATCAAACCCGTTGATGACTGAGAATTTGCCAAAAATTCTATAAGTGCGAGTCATTGATGCATCAGTTCTGTTAGTTGGTCTCGTGACTCGATTATCCAACAACATTAAGATAAGATCCACAAATGCAGATGAATCGTTAGTTGGTCTCGTGACTCGATTATCCAACAACATTAAGATAAGATCCACAAATGCAGATGAATCAGATTTAACAGTTGGTCCTGCAACCCCAACACTTGGGACCGCCGTGCTCCAATACCTTAAGAGCTTAAACTGTGTATACTCCAGTAAACGTACGAGTATAAACTGTGTCAACGTACGACGTTCGAAACCCTAGGGTCAACGTCGGTTAACGCTTAACCCTAGGTCAACGCCGGTCAACGCGTTACGATCAAAAAGTCAACGCGAATCAATATATCATGACAGAGATAATCAGTTCAAAGTCAACTCAATGACACAAGCCTAACTCAACTCACTGGTGGTAGACTCGAGACTCCGACGACGGCCAGGCGATAAACGCAGCGCCGGAAGGACTTCGGCTATTCGTCAAAACATTGAATAGACCGAAAAATTGAAGGAGCCAAGATTTGAAGCTAGCTACAGGTCCTTTACGCCGACTAAAGGCTGGACCAATCACATCCAAAGTATTCCAGCCTCTTCTATAAAAGAAACGAGTCTGGAACGCTTTGGAGGGGGTATCTGTAGGCATCGAAAATTGCCTATAGGTCTCCACGAACAGCTCAGTGTTAAGGAACGACAATGAACATCACTATCCGGTTCACAGCAGTTCGATTGATGTCGGTGAACGCTTAAGTGAATCGACGAACTACGTGGAGTAACAGAATTTTGGAATAACGAAGGTACGGGCTAATCGGGAGCCCCGCGATGTTTACAAAAAGAACAATACCCTTCGTGTCTCATTCATTCTATAGATGATCCAACCATCGAAGCTGATAGAACTCTTTGTCGGCTTTCCAACGCACTTCGAATCACTCAAATCCGAGTTCGGACGAAGAATTTACAGCGGAAGCGGACATATACACCATAACGGAGTGTCTTGGACCAACGAGACACCCTAAGGTGTCTCGGCCCAAACCGAGACACCCTAGGGTGTCTCGGATCAAGGGAAGACACCCTAGGGTGTCTCGGATCAAGTGGAGACACCCTGGGGTGTCTCCAACGTAGATTTGGGCCTTTAGGTGGTTTTAACCGCTCCAAACTCCCCCGAGCCTATAAATACAAGCCTCAAGCCCTCATTTTTTAAGATCTGGAATTTTGGAGATTAGGCGAAGCCCTGCCGGATTGAAGACTGAAGGTGCATGGATTTTAGATTGGAGATTAGGCGAAGCCCTGCCGGATTGAAGACTGAAGGTGCATGGATTTTAGAGAGGAGGAGGAGATATCGGATCCAGTTCTTCAACGCAAGAGAGAGAGATTCGTCAGATCTACAGTTTCTCGGATCCGTTCCTTAAGATTATCCCGTTGTGGTAATCTTAAGAAGAGTGATTATCTCGCTTCGCCGAGATAAGAGCTACGATTTCTCGATCCCTTCGCGGATAGACGAAGCTCTGCCTAATTTTTCAGCAATCAGATCTGATCGACGGTGGTCCACGGATAAACCCCGACACAGGCAAAGATCCCACGCAAGCAGAAGACCGATGAACGATCTCTGCGTTTGTTTGATAAAGTTGTAAACTTTTTTTATTTTTATTGTGTAAGGAGATCTTATAAAAAGATCAACTTTTTATTTCATTCGAGTTTATTGTAACGACTAAAGTTGTAATAGATTCGATAACAATGGAAATAACAACTTTCACCGCAAACATACTTGTTTTTCTATTTTGAGTTTCTATCGTTCGAAGATCCAACATCTGGTTTAAGATTTCCTAAATTAGTTCTAAATTCAAGCATATGGTGTGATAATCAAATGTCTGGAAACATGCATAACCCATTTTCTTTTGCTTTATGAGTTATTTGACTTCGTAACTTTTTCATATAGCTTTCGATGATAATAAAACTTTGTGAATACTTATGTAGACATGTTTTGAGCATGTTCAAAGATTTTTTGGTGTTTTTGAGTTATATTTTGATAATTACCTAGTTGAACCAAAAGTCTGAAAAAATGATTTTTCTTTGTTTTTGAGTCCTTAGCCCAAACTCCATCTAGAGTTGTAAACAATATGAAAATGTGTTTCTTTGCAATAATATGGGCTCTAAATTATTACGACTCCTCTGATAATGGTTTAGCTATGGATAATAAATAATATACCTTTGAAGATTACACATGCAAACCCACGGAAGTTGACGGTTTAAATATTGGACATTTGTCTCTATTAGCGTGGTAAACATTTATCTTAGATGGCGGTGGGCACAAGAGGTGCAAACTTGTTGCCTATGCAATTGTGAATAAGATATATTGAGAAGAGTTAACATCGTTGGATAGTTAAAATCTTAGTTTACCAACTCTTAGACGTTATAAATTACACATTAAGTTTTGAGTGATGATGAATAGAGCATGAGGGTAGGGGATTTGCAAACTCCATTTTTTTACGTTTAATTTCTCACTCAATAGCTAGTCATGCAAGAAAAATTGAGATTAAATGACATCGTGTGATAATGTCTTAAATGTAGGATTTATTCCGAACCACTATAAAATTCTCTTGTACTCTGTGTTTGTTGCTTATATGTGGTTGTTGCTTAATATTTCAAATTTTTCGCTATTTTTTTTAATTTGTCGAAATATTCAGTTGGATATATGTGCACATTTTGGTTGGGATGTGCACATTATATGTAACAACCAGTTTATTAATTTAGCTGACTGGATTACTGTATTGTAATCCATCATTTTTCTCAAAAAAAAAAAATTTTGTCGAAATATTTTGTGCAACCCTCTTTAGCCCTTGCATCTCAGAACCCAAAGAAGAGGTTCGTAGGTAGAGTACCTAGAGAATAATTTCTGTCATGTGTGAGAAAGAGTTTTGAGGTCTCAGACCTCTTCTGTATAACATGCAACCTTTCTTCTCGCTAGTGAAACTTTATTTTCCACTACTTTGGACATAGAACTTGCTCGAAACCATGTTAAATATTGTGCGTTTAAGTTGCTTCAATCTTATTTGTTTTTCTCTTCATGTTCGGGCAACTGCTTGAGTTCTTCCTTTCGGAAGCTTCTGCCTGCACTATCCGTAGCAATTGTAGCATATCCTAATATGATATACATTTTGTTTGCGCCTGAAAATTGCATTTTAAACACATAGACTTAAGTTTGCATCACCCAATAACCCATAATTTTTTTTCTTTGTGCCATATTCATAGTACGTAGTAGTATATCTTATTATAATATATTTGCTTAAGTAAGCAAAAGTTCATACGAGGATTCCACTAATAATGGACGCTTTTAGAATGCCAAACGTGCGACTGGTACAAACATTTATAGAAAAGAAAAAACATAGAGAGAGAACAAAAGAAAATAGATAGGAGCAATATCTTTTTATCCACTTCAAAACTTATCGTAACGAAAGTTACAACATACACGCATCACCGCCAATTCCCCAGTTCTTACATCAAATTTAAAGGAATTGAACATTTAACGTCAAATTCTAAAGATTCATTTAACTTGCAACTCCAACTTGCTTTGAGAAACTGTGACAGCTGCGGTCGTCGGTAAGTCCATGGACCCATTATTCTTTCCGCTTTTATCTGAAGGTACCGTCAAGTGATCGTTGCCCTTTCCCCATATGAGCGAATAGAGGCCAGACACTATGACTACAGCACCAAGAATCCTACAAACAAAGAGATCGAGACGTGAATTATGCGAACGATTTCATTTTATTCTGAAAAAAATGATGAGAAAATTAGTCAGTGAACGCACCTCCCCAGAGTGATTTCCTCTGCTAGAATAATGGAACCTAAGAGAGTTGTTACGATCATGCATAAGGGATTGAAAGAAGTCACAAAGACCGGCCCCCTCTCCTTCATCACTATCCCTTGCACATAATATGCAACCCCAGAACATATCACTCCCTACGTACCAATGACAGGCATCAGTTATAAACTAAAACCTAGGCATAAATCTAAGCGAATTTTTCGCAAAACTCCCGTGAACTTTATAAATCATAGAAATTAAACCCTAAGGCACTTTAAAAATTACACAAAACTACTCAGAAATATCGGAGTTTCTTACGAACAACATAAACGGTTTAGAGTAAAAAGTATAAACCATCCTTCATGTTTTTACCTGTACTCACCCAAAAGGATCGTACGGAAGTCGTATTTATCAGAGAGGGAAAATTTTTACCGAAACGTGACAACTTAAAGTACTTGTCACCCAATCATGTCTACTTGTGTGAGACAAGTTCAGAAAGTTCTTTATCATTTACAACGTTCATGGGTGTTTAGTGAAATTCACGCTAAAATATTCTAAAGTGAAGTCCAAATCTTACCGAATAAATTACAGTGATGAGTCTCATATCAAAACCAATGGACCAAGGCTTTGCAGTCCATCCTTCCATTATGATTGTAACTGCACTGCTCAACACCGAGCCCGAAAAGCATATCAAGGTTGTTAAGGAGAGCTCTGCAGGATATGACTCCAAAGTATTTGCCTGCATACACGATAGATTAGTACAATATCTTAAAGTACACATTATTCTTTTTTATTTTCATCTTCAAGTAGTCGATTATTACTTGAACGATGTAGAATCCTGACCAAAATACACAGCTAGCCAGTAACATAATTGTTCCGCTAACCCAGTTGCCTCCACCATTGTTTGCTCCACTGGTGCTATGGTGAGTTCGACCTTTAGACCAGAAAAACTCTACAACCGGTCCGTCGTAAAATATCATAAGTAAGGCACCAAGTACACTGACGACAGTCCCGATGACCTTTGCTTGGCTTCGTCTATGCTTAAGATTTACTTTCTCCATCCTGAAAATATCGAGAGAAAAAAATTCAAAACTTTTTTGTTGTTGTTTGGTTGCAAAGGCCTATGAAAAGAGGTTGACTAGAGAAATAGATTGACTCGTACTATTCAAAAGATTAACCTTAAATTAATTGAGTAATGAGTCCAAATATATATATTTAGCCATATATTAATCTAACTATTCTGATAGATTCTACCTGAAAATTACGGCCATCACAAAAGTAATTGCAGGGATTGTGTTGAATAACGTGGAACCGAAGCCTGCAGAGGTGTTGTTCTGTCCCATGTAGCTAAGGTTTTGATCAAGAACGGGTCTGATAAACATGAAAACATCTAGCATAAGTGAAAAAACAAACAATTTTCCTTGAATGAATATTTAAAAAATTAAATTGAAAAATGATGAATTTTTTGTAGGGATAGGAAATCCATACTCAAGTAATCCTAATGTAATTATCTTGAGGAAGACACGCAGCGTCATCTTTGGTCTTGTTTTCCTGTATGAGAGAAACCACGTTAGAATCTTGTTGGCCACAAAATTCTAAGTAAAGTAGAGCTTTAAAAAAATACTGTTTTGTGAGTCTAGATTTTGGCCCATGAAAGGGCCCTCAAACCTCCTGGGACATGTTACGGTATAAAATTATATATTTCGTATTTGTGGGTGTATCTTTAGATTCATATTTATAGAGGTCTGACTAAGTTTTACCGGGATAACCCCCCACTTAACACAATCCTTCTTTATTTTTACTTAAGATAGTGCAGAAGAATATGATAATGATTAATTAACTTCTGTTCGTATGTGTATGTGTGGCTTAAATGGAAACAATTGTGAGATATATACCTCTCAAACCACAAAGCAAAAGGGGCCATAACGGCAGCAGCTATCCCGTTACGGTACACAACCAACACATAATGATTCATACCGCGCTTGAGCGAAGCAACTGCGATAGTATACATCCCTGCAAAACCAATCTGCAAGAAAATGACGAGGAGATAAGGTTTAACCTTGCTCATCACCCCACCAACCGACATTTTTCTTCAAATACTCTCTTAGCTCTCTTAGATATGTTTTCTTATTAAACAACTTGGATGAGATTATTCAAGGACTGGTAGAAGGTTTATATAGGGTTGAAAACTTGCCAACTTGTAGAATGAGCCAGCAGTTATTAGCACTGGAATGAGTCTTTTCCCATTATCCATAAAAATAAATCACAAAGTGTTCATGGTTTTTAGCATTCTTCAATGTACTATCTGACATGGTTTTTTAATGTCACGCCTGTGAGTAATTAATTAATGAGTAACTTTCACAAAGCCCCAGACTTTTGGGGTTTTTCATCACCAACTTTGATTTGTCATGACTCGACTCAGCTCGAACTTGTTACAATATCCCTTAATGCCGTCTATGAGATTTTTGTTTATGGATTTAGTATGATTTTGCAAGTTCAGTGGATTTTCTCTGATTTCTAAAGCTTAGAGGGGGTTTTTCTTAAATTTACCCTTAACTTATTCCTAATGCATTTCCGTGTTGTCTACCGCCCTCTAATTGGATGATGGTTAAGTGCATAATGATTCATTTCGGTGGAACTTTCTCTGATTGCGAACATTAATGTTGGTGCGCTTGTATTAGGATGCCAATGACAATATAACTTCATAGTTCAAAGCTTGTACGATAAAAGATATGATGACATCTTCACTGAAATCTCATTATAGGGACACGTTGGGGTTGAAACAACATGATAACCCGTGCCCTTCCGGATATTGTGTCAAAAGTATAACAAGCAAGAAATCACAGCAAATAAAAAAAAACTTGTAGGAAAGAATAAACAAAGAGAGAACACCAGATTTAACGAGGTTCGTCAAACGTGTCTACGTCCTCGGGAGCCACACCAGAAAATTCCTTTATGATTGAAGAAGATTACAATGCTCACAATAGGCTTCGCTCTCTCTAAGATCTCTAATATCAAAGTTCTCTCAAAACCCTCTATTTTTCATGTACAATAAACCCTAAAAACATTTCAAGGTTTATATATAATCAACTTAAAACAGATTCCATCTCAAACCAGGAAAGCCCATATACCGCTATCAGTCGACTGATGCACATGCATCAGTCGACTGGCCAGAACGCGATTTTTTACAGGGTCACTCGTGCACGTCTATCTGTTGACTGGTGGTACATAACCAGTCGACTGATAAGCTCCTACCAGTCGACTGATGAGCTCCTACCAGTCAACTGATGAGCTCTATCAGTTGACTGTTTAGAACGTGATTTTCTGGGTTGTTTCATACAGTCACATCAGTCGACTGATCCAGGGTCTTCGATCGACTGATGCTGGAATTTTCAGCTACTTGTTGATTTCATCTTCAGGTTTCGTTCTACACAAATCCAAAACCAACAATCTCCCACTTTGAGACGAAACCACCATCAAAGAGTTCTCCTGAACTTTTACTATTAGGTCTCATGTTTATGAGCCTACTATTTTATCTTGTTTCGATGATTAACAAATAATTCCTAATATCAGTTTGTCGAGAGTTTTGTAATTGCTTGTATAGGAACTCTACACAAAGATCCTCCTGTCGGAGGTTGGTTGGAGTTTTGTATCAGTCGACCGAAGCTGGTCATCAGTCGACTGGCGAGTTCATCAGTTGACCGTCGACTGGCGAGTTCATCAGTTGACCGATGAAGGTTGAGCTACCTATAACAGTCATCTCATTAGTCGACTGACATTGTTCATCAGTCGACTGATGGCACTGTAATGACTAGTTTTTCAGCTTACTAGTTTTTCCGGGTTTTTGTCTTTTTGCTTGGATTTTCTTGATTTTTGGGTTTTGTTTCATGAACCTGTATATACCCGTTGCTCTCTAACTTCTGCATAATCTAAGAAAAACAAAAATTGAGTTTTGGATATGTTCGTTAAAGAGTTTACAAGTGTTTTCAAGTTTGATTATGTGAAGTAGTTTTCACAAGAGGAAGAGATTATTCTTTTCGTGTTTGGGCATCAATCTACATCTCTCTTACTCTTGATTTTTTGAGAAGCTTTGCTAAACTTAATTACTAGCTTTATTATATTTATTGTTGCTTATCACTTTGTTAAGCTAGATTTTATATTAAGTTTAGTTCTTATTATTCCTCATTGATCACACACATAACCTATTGAGCTTTTAGCATTTCATACATTATTTTTAGGTTGTGGTGAATGATTCTTTGAGAATAAGATTAATTGAGTTCTCATCTTGTTAGAGAACATATACTTGTATTTGTGAGACTATTTGTTGAGATCACATTATAATACACAAGGACACCGAGAGGAGTGGTTGGTGAGAGACAGAGTCGATTCCAAGAGGAGTGGCGTCGGTTGTTGTAGGCGTTAAAAATTACCTATAGGTTTCTGAATGCAGCTCGAGGAGAAGAGAAGACGAAGAACGTCATTATCTAAGTTAGAGAGTATTGTCAGATACAAAAATGAAGCAACAAAGCGATGAAATGACAAAGTGACGTTGCAATGAAACGACGAAGCGATGAAATGACGAAACGACGAAGCGATGAAACGTTGAAGCAACGAAGCGCATGAGACGACAAAACAACAAAACGAGACACACTCAGGTGTCTCGAAATCTGAGACAGTAAGAGGTATCTCGAATTCCGAGACACCATAGTGTGTCTCATAATTCGAGACACCAAAGGGTGTCTCGCACCATAAACACACAGTGTGTCTCATAGAGGGAGACTCCTAACACATGTTTTCAATGTTTTCTTGGGATTCGTACGGTCCACTGGCTTCCTAACTGCCTTGGGAACATCCTCAAACATGGAAAAGTCATTACTAACTACAGATACATCCAAATCATGAATTTTTATCCTCAAACATAGCGTCCGAATCCTATAAATGCCCCCTAGCACCTTATGCACGGGTGATCTGGAGATCTGGACTTTTGGGACGAAGTGCTGATGATTTGAGAACAGAAACCCATGAATTTTAGAGAGAAAGGCGAGATCTTGGCGAACTTCGTGCATAAAGAGGAAGATTTCGAGAGATCTACAAGCCTTCACCCCTTTCCTTGAGATCAAACATCGCTTTGATCTCGAGAAGAGTATTTATCTCACCTCGCTGAGATATTTACTTCTGTTTTTATTTTCCAGTTGAAACAAGAACACCAAGCCTTCTTCACGATCAATCTGGATCTGTGAATCGGTCGTGCACAGGCTAACGCGTCCTGGCACAGGCAAAGATCCTACGCAACCAGCGATTGATAAATAATTTCTACATGTGTTTCTTGGAAATTCTCTATTTGTTTCTTTTGTAAAGAGAAGTCTTATAAAAAGGCTCACTCTTGTGATTCTGTTGTATCAATAAATGATTGTAATGGACTCTGCAAAGAAATTAATTTCCAACGCAAACACGCTGGTGATCACAATGGGAGCCAATAGTCTCTCTGCTGAGGCTGTAGTGTTGTAACCGATTAAGATCCTAGTTGATGCAGCGATCGAGTACGAGTTTGACCAACAGAAGTTCGAGGAGTACCTTTCATCCTCCTCCTCTGGATCTCCCTTGCCCCGCAAGTGTAGGAAGATCTCATCTTCAAAGAAGGTTCACTAGTCTTCAGATCTGATAAAGGCCTAGGGTGATGAGTCCCACCCAATCGTCACTGAGGCTTCCCCTTGCAACGCCCCTCCGGCATCCAACCATGTCGGAGTTTCTGTTCATAATAACTCCTCCTCAATCAAGGAGTCGTTCGATAAAACCGTGCCAACTCTGACGAAGAGGGCTCATCAGAAACAGTGACAACATCACGCTCGTTAGCTCACCAAGGCCTTGGAGCAGGTTGACGTGGTTTGCTATTACGCGGATCTAGAGTCGAGGAAGTGTCGAGTGATTCTGCCGCCTTAATGGCGGGGGGAAACATATGTTTCCTCCAAAGCATCAGCCAACGAATGGGTCTGTGTCAAAAGGACTCGTTCAACTCTTGTGGAATGCATCCAAAAGTGTCATGCACTTGACGCGCACACATGTGATCTTGTGTAAAAAGAACAAGAATTACAGAAGGAAGAGGTGTCCAAAGAATTACCAAAATCATGCAAAGTCTGGGTGCCTAAGTTCAAGATGGTGCGAAAATTAAATGAGAAGACAATCGAAACCGTCTCTAAGAGCTGAGACATATCAAAGTGTCTCACGGACCAAGACACACTAAAGTGTCTCGCCACTAGCCGAGTCACATCCATGGGTTTTAGCCAGAGAGACAGTCCCGTGGTCGCTCCCCGTCGACACCTACTCCTGGTTCTTCTTTTGCCGTACCTCCAGTGAAGCCTCACGGCAGTGTTGACTTGTCAAAATTCAAGATCACAATAGCAGTGGAAGAATATTTGGGTGGAAGAACATTTTCGGTGGAAGAACGTATGGGTCCGGTGAATAAATCCAAAGTGGCTCTTCAGACTGGGGGTCGTGCACGTCCTCCCATCAAACCAAAGCCATCCCTTCTTGGAAAAATTCCTGTGACTGCCCACTTTGGGGTTTGTGTTAAATTCCAGGAGCCCATTAAGACTCCACACTCGCAAGGGGGTGGTTCCAAATTTATGACTCCTAAGAACGCCAACGAGGCTTCACGTCCCCAGAAGAAGATGCGTCTATCGAAAGATGACGTTATAATCGGGGAGTCATGCTAAACAACGATAGGTTGCTCCAGTTATCATGCTGATATGTTGTACTATCAGGTAGGGGTGTAAACAAATCTCGCAAGAGAAGTATCTGAGAAATCACCTCTCACTGTCCATGTGAGAGCCTTATTAGGGCAGTACTATCAGAATGTAGTTGCCCTGTTTGTTGGAAAATTTGCAATAAGAATATTGAAATAATTAAATTTGATTTATTCTCTCTAACTTCTTAGAAAAAGAATGTTTATAACTCTCTCAATCTCGATTACAATTTGAATTTCCTGATTACAAAAGAAAAGAGAATTTATGTAAATTCCCTTCTTTGTTTAATTTTGGGTTCTTCACGGTAGCGATGGAGTGCCTCCCTCAAATACTCGCATCAAGT